AGTGATGAATTATAAAATTTTAGTGGATATAAAGGGAGAAATATGAAAAATATTCCGTCCCGCAAAAGGAAGCGCCCGAAATCCGTCACTTCTACTGACCATTGGGTGGTGTGAAGCAATTCTCAACCAGAGTTTCAGAAAATCACAATTCTCAAACTCAGATCCCGAAACTTTTGTCTGCTAGGCGCTATACTTGCCTGTCCAGCGCTATCTGGTAATAAAGTTATGTAGGTTAATTGTTCTGACGCTGCCGACATATTTTTCGGACAGAAATGATACAGCGATACAGCACAACATCATTCCCCTCACCCCCATCCAGAAGAATGGGCCCACATGCCTAAATGTAAAGCCATTCAAACGTGTTAGCTTATTTTGTGGTTTCAACGGCGTGTAACTAAAATCCCGGGGAACTTTATTTACTCCCTGAGCCACCATGGCCCCCATCAGGTTATTGAAGACTGTCATACGCCATGCACTGTGCTATGGGGAACCATTTTCCCGGGGAGCCACGGTGGCTAGGTGAGTAAGACGCTGGCTCGCTAGCCTGGAGGTCGCATTTTCGATCCCTGCATTGGCCGAGAAAGTTCATCGGGATTTTCCGACGTGGTTCCCCCTTGTCAGTGGTGCAGAACGGAGGGCCTGACAAGGACAGCTGTCTAGTCCTTCGGATAGATAAAAAACAGAGGTCCCGTGTATACATTGGAATGCACGTAAAAGATCCCTTGGCAGTTGGAATTCGATATAAGAGTAGGCGATAGTGCCGCTGCCCGGGCAAAATTTCCCTCATAGCACACTGTATGGCGTATGCCCGTTCATTAGCCCAGTATAGGAGCAGAACAGTAGGACGTTAAACCCCATTTCATTTCATTCCATTTTCCCGGACGGCGGCGCTACGACCTACTCTTATTTCAAAATATAATTGTCAAGGGTTTGTTCCATGACCGTAACTAAAGGGGGGGGGGGGGGGGCGCAAGGGGGAGCTAAGCCCCCCCCCCCCCCCCGCACAAAGTTAATCCTCCGTGAAAAAATTGACGACCATTAACAATATAAATATACGTTGTCCGTTAATTTTACAACACCCATGAGAACACTTCCCGCCCCCCTCATTGCTCTGAGCTAGCTACGGCCTGGGTTCGTTCACGTGAACACTAAGGAATTTACGTGAGGAATCTGCATGTTGTATTCCGGTAAAAGGAAAATAGGTTGTAGGTTTTCCTTATCGATTATGTAATTATGGGCAAATGTGATTCTACAATATTTTGCGGTAATTTTTAAACTAAGTTCATGCGTATTTACGAGTATTTTATTCAATTTCCAATCGTCAATATAAAAAAATCATTATGCGATAATAATATTTAAAAATTCTATAATAAAACAGTATGTAACAGTATAGCTTACAAATGATGTCCTCATTCAAAATCATATTGCTCTTTATACCGGTAGGACTTAATTATTTAAACAACCTGTACAACACTTCTTCAATGATCTTTAGGCATGGTGTGAAGTCTCGATCATACAGTAATACGATAGTTATAACATACTAATATAGGTAATGCGAAAGCCTTCTTTTAACTCTGTATGAGATGACCGAGCTCTAAATTCACGTGCATTATAGGTCTACGCGTGAAAGCTGTTTAAATCGGACGTAGTAACACAAACTGATCCGAGCAGAATTGGTGCCTTGTACTCGCTATTTTAGGTATCCATTTACACAAAATAGGAAATATTTTTTTATCCAGATATTCTTGCAACACATTTATTTTTTTCTAAATAATTTTAAAAAATGTGTTTGAATTTAATTTGCAGAAGAAAAAATATAACTTGTCCCTATGTCACCCCTTTCAGTGATTGTAGCTGCCAAGCGAATATTCACTGCTGATCGGTTTGATAACTTACATGTACTATTAACAAGGAAGCCAACTGTGGTGGACCGTGTGGGGTGATCAAGGTGGTTATTAAAAAACAAAGTTCAGTTTTAATGCACAATCTTCGAACTAATGATCAATGATGACAGATGGTGGGTTGCATTGGAAATTGTTCTGTGATAGAAATAAGTAATGACGCCCCCCTCCCCCAACACACACACACACACACACACACACACACACTCCAATGACTTCAGTGCAGTTAAATCCATAACATTTCTTGGCCTATAACTTAGTGTAACATTTTTGTGAAAATTCCGATCTTCATAATGTTCTGATAAAAATATAGACCATTAATTAGCCTCAAAATTTGGACTTTTTGGTGCTCCTATTTTTGTAAACTTTTAAGATGTCGTTCAGTACCCCCATCTGTACCAGAAACCATCAAAAATATTTTCTTGCGAATGTTCTGGGAATGTCCCTCTTTTTTATCATAAATTGGCTGATATGATTAAAAACCTGACATTTACCATCAGAATTCGGGACTTTCCGGGACTACCATTTTAGTAAATTTTTAGGGTGCCATTTAGCACATCCAACCATAAAGAAACTTGTCTTGCAATTATTTTAGCTTGTGGTCCCTCTAGAGGTCACAATTGTTATCCGATTTACAAACATGAAATGCATGTTTATAACCCAAAGATCTTGGTTCCTTTCGATATTCGCGCATATCGGTTCGTAACTTCCCGAATTATGACCACTGATTTTACGAAAAATCCCGTTTTTAGCTTGTGGTCCTTCTAGAGGTCACAGTTTTTATCCTGTTTTGATGAAACTTTAAATTTATGTTTATGTCACAAAGATTTCGGTTCCCGGTGATAATCGCCCATATCCGAACGTACCTTCCTGGATTATGGTCCCTGATTGTTCGAAAAATCGCATTTTTCGCTTGTGAACCTACTAAAAGTCACAATTTGTATTCAATTTTATAAACCATTTCAATATATCACCGTTACACATTCATGAAGGTTGAGTTCGAATTTCGTAAAAATTTGACCGAAACTGGCGGACAAAATGGCCGCTCCTTGTATGCAAATTGTGTAAAAGTATGTAATACGAAGGTTCTGGGTCCTCTAAAGGTCATAATTTTTGTCCGATTTTGGTGAAACTTAAAATATATCTTTATATCCCAAAGATCTCAGTCCATTTCAGACCATAACTTCCTGGATTATGGCCCCTGATTGTAAGAAATATCGCTTCTTTTTTTTTTTAGCTTGTTCTCTATCCACCATCTCTGCAAAATGTTGGTCTGGCTTCAATTGTTATGTAAACTATTATTTAGACATTTTATTCACATGACAAGCCCATAATCAAATCTCGAGACCATCGTCAGGGGGCTGAGATGTTGAATGGATTAGAAAACCGCACCATTCAATAATTTAAATGAGACGGTTTATCAATGACACTTGCCAATTTAAATCTAACATAGTGCATCTGTAATCAATGGTGGTCTGCATCCTTGTGTAAAATGGGTTATGTCCCATACATCATAAACAACAGTACTCAACACGTTGTCTCATAGAACAGTTCCTTTAATTGTGCGATTATAATGGCGCTTTTTCTCCAAAAGAATGGTTCACATTGATTGTTTATTAGATTTCCTTAATGCCACGACCACATTTGTACAGAAAACTTATTTTAAACAAACGTAAAAGGTGCTAAATCATTTAGTAAATGCTTTGAAAAGTGCCGAAGTGATTTGAAAAACTAACTATGGACATTGTTTGGGACAAAAATGATATTTTACAGTTTTTTTGAGTTGAGTATAATTCCGTGTCAATGCATTGTAAACATTATTTTCAAGAAACCACAAGCTAGATTGAGAAAAATGGGCTGGCCAGGGTAAAGGACTGTACACACTCCATAGACCAATATGATTATAGTTTCGCAGGTCTTCGTTGCTACGCTGCACACCAGTCATCTTGGTGATAAGACCAGTTTCGTACTCGTAGCCTTCGGGCAAACAAGCCTGGGAAAACTCACTGTATAGTCCTTAATTGATGACAAATTTTCATATCTACAGGTCTTGAGAACAACTTGGCGTGCACCAAAAAGAGTCCTTGACAATTCAATTGTCAAATTTCCCTAATAGCGAACGGCATGGACGAGGTTAAACCCCATTCATTATTCATTCCATCCTCCGTATCCCCAGTGGTATCATTCGTTCTACTCCACGGACCCCTGGTTCCATTCACTGAGGAGACGCATAGTCAAATTGTCCACCCTTGATACTTGTGCTATATTTTTTCATCGACCTATCGACTGCGTGAAGGGAAGTAACTCACATTTTATTGGAACTAAGATAGCTAATTGGTGTTGCGAACTTTGTCAAAATATTTTATGCAGATGTCACTTCTCTGACATTAAATTTCTTGCAGCCCTTCTCATAATCAAGAGTACAAACTGCTTAATTGTGGTGATCGTAAACCATGGTGCTAAGACGTGTATGTCAACTGTTTTTTGATTGGTTCGTAGAATCAAGCTACGATCAAGGGCAGATAACTTGAATTCGTGAAAACCAGTGAATGAAAATGAAATGAAATGAAATGGAGTTTAACGTCCTACTGTTCTGCTCCTAACCTGGGCTAATGAAGACGGGCATACGCCATACAGTGTGCTATGAGGGAAATTTTGCCCGGACAGCGGCCTACTCTTATATCGAATTCCAACTGCCAAGGGATCTTTTACGTGCACGCCAATGTGTACACGGGACCTCGGTTTTTCGTCCCATCCGAACGACTAGACAGCTTTCCTTGTCAGCCCCTCCGCCCTGTATCACTGACAAGGGAGAACCACTCCGAAAAATCTGGATGAACTTTCTCGGCCAATGCAGGGATCGAACACCCGACCTCCAGGCTAGCGAGCTAGCGTCTTACCCACTTAGCCACGTGATCCCCACCAGTGAATGAACCAAGGCATTAGTGGAGTAGAACTGAACGATATAATTAGGGATACCCAGGATGCATGCTGCATTCATTCATTCGTTCATTCATATCTGGCAAAACAACATGCAAGTACCCATTCTAAAGGTCAAGGTTAGCAATTTGGGTTTTTAATGCAAATAAAAACACATCATTCAGTGTTTATTTCTTTTTATTCCAATGGCATGTTAAAAAGCTAGGTATGTGTATTTACAATTGAGCATAAATAAGCAATACTTACATTAATAATTGTTTACATATTTTGATTTTTTATCACTATAAATTAATACATTTTAACCAAAATATTACAATACTAATAATATTATTTAATTCTTTCAACATAAGAAACACAAGAATTTAGTAATGAACACATGACAGAAATGAAATGAAATGAAATGGGGTTTAAAACACATGACAGTGGATGGTAATAATAATATAGAATTACCATAGAAACTACATGCAAACCTGGAGATAGCACGGTCGAATTCTCATCTCAATTCTGATCTCCGGCGATTAGAGATCATTGCATGTAGAATGAAATGAGAGCGAAAGAGAGAGAGAAATGGGGTTTAACATCCACTTGACACAAAATAGGTAATTTCTGGACTAACATATGGTTCAATTTTATTTCAATAAATCGCTTGCACATAGAGGTATTTAGCAGTGGGAGGAAACCGGGGACCCAGAGAAAACCCACGAGGTTGGACAGGTGACCTTACTACTCGTCACGTACAACCATGGAATCGAAACCACGACAGTTGACTCGATGACAGACCTTATCATACAACGCACCCGGGCTAACCATTCTGCCATCCAACCCCCTGGAATGGAATGACATCCTACTTTTCTGCACCAACCAGGTTAATGAAGGCAATTTTGTATGAGGGAAATTTTGCCAGAAGACTGTGACTGCATGGATCCATGGAATACAAGAGAAAAACTTATCTCGATAGAATAAAAATTAAAAGACTGAAAAAACTCTAAAACAAGAATAAATTAGGTTTGTGATACAAACAGTAAAAACCACCCCCACACCTCACCCACCCACATACTCCTTTACAAAATTGAATGGCTTGTTTGAAACCATGCAACAGTTTTTGTCAACAGTTTATTTTACACTACAGTTTTAAAAGTACATAATATATATTGCCATTTTTCTGTAGACATCAATTGTATAATTCTCTAACTATATACAAAACATTATCTGATAATTTTCTTTGAACACAATTTATTATGATTACAATTCGTTTGTCTCTATATAAAAAAAAAACATGACTAATTCATTTTATATACAATATTATACAAAGATATTGACTATCAAATTTAAAACTGATCTAATGGATGAAATAGATTTGTTATAATGACATTTGATGATTACACTCAATTGATATTATATGTAGTTTATAAAACAATTACTGCCTAGTCCAAAATGTGATGAGATCTAGATAAGTAACCTGAAATTGGAGAGAGAGAGAGAAATGGGGTTTAACGTCCACTCGACACAAACTAGGTCATTTCGGGACTAACATATGGTTTAATTTTATTTCAATAATTCGCTTGCGCATAGGGGTCTTTAGCAGTGGGAGGAAACCGGAGGACCCGGAGACCTGAAATTGGAATAGATCCTAATAGAACCAAGTCTTATAAGGCGTTCGACTAGATTTCGAGTTTCAGAATTTTCTCTAAGTAGTATATCTATAAAATTGAAGAGTTCTTTTGGAAGAAAGTAAGGGGGGGGGGGGGGTATTATTTTAGATTTCTTTTACCACTCAGATTCCTCTTTGACCTTCTCCATACCTTGGGATTTACTCGGCCAATATGCGTAGCAATATACATAACAAGGTTTTGATTGGTCAATAAAATGTGAAGTTGTCTCAGGCTATTCACCATAAAAGACTTTCGGTTTCTGAAATAATTCCTTGGATTTCTTGTAGTCTAACAATACGCATAGAAATTTATATACATAAACAGGATTTTGGTTGGTCTATAAAAGTGAACCCTGGATTTTATGTTAGGAGATTATATAGCGTTGACATTTTGAGTGTTTTCTTGAAGCTGCATTATGGAAGATTAGATAAAGAGCTGACAGTTCTTGCTACAATAGTTAAAAAACAGATAATGTAAAGGGAATATGCTGAAAATCTCACTGATTTTAATAACACTGTAGCCTCAATGATTGTCATTGTTGCCATTGTTACAATAATAAACAAAGTCTCGATTATCTATTTTTACGGTTTAATCATCAACAGCCTACGTGCCTATTGCAGGTTTTTCTTTAAGCCTGAAATCTTATCTAAATTATTAATTAGACATTAATTAACTTATCCAGAATATAATCAACACTCGATGCCATCGTTAGTCTGCAATATTTAGTGGATTTGAATACATTTTGTGATGGATAATTTAACATTGAGACTTGGTTTATTATCGCTTCAAAGTAATGACATTCGAGGCTAGCCTAACATCTCAGTTCAGAGTGAAGCAATTTGACTGAAATTTTCAGCATATTTCATTTTCATTATCTATTTTTTCAACTATTATAGTGAAAACTGTCAGCTCTTTTATCTAATCTTACCTAATGCCCCTTTAATCTAGATAATTGCACAATATTTGGCACAAACATTACATACATAACATATTTATATTTATATATATACAAGATATATACATCTTATAAAAGCATTAATATACAATGAAAGGAATGAATATTTTACAATATATATTATATACATATTACATACAGATATATATATAGATATACAGTACAGATTCTACTGTACATTTACATGAGAAGAATCTGACACAGCTTCAAATTCACTTACATTGTTCATGCCACTTTTGTAGGTTTTCGATAAAAACATCCGATCAGAATTTAGTTTTACAATTTAATCTATCAATATATAATGAAACTATATTTTAACAAATTATATAAAGATATTAACAATAAATTAGTTAAACCCACTAGCAGTTTCACATTAAATGTCCTCACAGAAATAGTTAATATCACTTACAGTAAAGAACTACTTCATACTGTACTTTTCGTTGGCATGGCAACATATCTATCTTCCTCCTCCTCCTCTTTTTGCTCTCTCGCTTCATTGAGTGCTATGGTGGCTTTAACGCTATCTATATCTTCATAGAAGTTTTCCTCGACTGGATGAGAATTTTCATAAGTGTCACTAGAAGCACCACATGGTGAGGGTTTGGGCAGATCGTATTCTTCATCGATCGCCATAACAAGTTTACCATACGTAGGATTGTTCAAAGATACAGATGGCAGTGATTCGTCGTGAACGTAACTATTTTCTTTCATGGTACAAGATGGATCAATTATGTGACTAGTCTCATCATCAGAATATGGTCCTTGATTTGCAGCTTCCCCATAATATGGATTGGCATAACCAACACTTGATTCCTCTACTGGCTTTTTCCTTCGTCTACAAAAACACAAATATAATTATTTTATAGCCACATCATGTTAGAATAATGGTTAAATATAGCCACATCATGTTAGAATAACGGTTAAATATAGCCACATCATGCCAGAATAATGGTGAAATATAGCCACATCATGACAGAATAACGGTCCAGAATAACGGTGAAATATAGCCACATCATGCCAGAATAACGGTTAAATATAGCCACATAACGGCTAAATATAGAAAGGAAATGAAATGGGTTTTCCCTGCCTACTGTTCTGCATCTTTGGGCTTAATAAAGACAGACATACACTATGCTTCGTCAAATTCCAAATATCAAGGGTTCTTTACGGACACACACTCGACACAAACTAGGTCATTTTAGGACTAACATGGTTCAATTTTATTTCAATAATTCACACGGTTCAACAATTTACTAATTCAAATAATGCATATAAGTGTCATACACAGATTGGATGATATCTTTTGTCATTATTAGAACATTCGTAAGGTTGTACAAAGTGCCATAACTCTAGAATTTATTAATTAGCGGAAATTCAACAGGCCTCTTTGTGTCACTAATATAAACAACATTATATGAATTTCAAAAAGAGCGGATGCTACATGTAGTCTGTATAGTATTCACAAGAAATTGTGGCTGACGAACAAATGGATGGACGGGGCAGCGACAATCTGTCATTACTAGAACATTCGTAAGGTTGTACAAAGTGCCATAACTCTAGAATTTATTAATTAGCGGAAATTCAACAGGCCTCTTTGTGTCACTAATATAAACAACATTATATGAATTTCAAAAAGAGCGGATGCTACATGTAGTCTGTATAGTATTCACAAGAAATTGTGGCTGACGAATTAATGGATGGACGGGGCAGCGACAATCTGATTAAAATACAAATCTATATTTCATTTTGTTTTTTTATACTTTCGATGGCCTACACTAAATGAAAATCTGACCAGTTGTACAGGGAGGTTGTCTCGGGGGTTATAAGAGCGGCTTTTGACCCTATGATGTCAGACATTGATTAATCAATCAGCGTTGACGTTTTTAGTGGGTTACCCACAGTTCTGTGCATTGCACACCAAGAAGTTGCCGTAACAGATGGTTTCATTAGCTAATCCCTCATGCCATCCAAAACGCTGGTTATATAACAACTATTCCAGATCCTAGTTTAGTACAGACAAATAAAACAAAATTTTGGACTATAAAAAAGGAAACGAAATAGGATCTGTGTTTTAATCAATCAGATTGGGTGCAGTGTTTATGACTTTTCATGTAGTTTGTATAGTGTTTTACAAGAAATTGTGGCTGACGAACAAACGGACTGGGCCAATGACTTTTCATGCATACCTTCTTATAAAACAGACAGCACCAAAACAAACACCAACCATTAAACCCAGTAGAATACCTAGAACTAAAGCTATGGTTGTTCCTGAAATACACAAATATAAAATAAAATAAAATGAAATGGGGTTTAACGCCCTACTGTTCTGCTCCGAACTGGGTTAATGAAGACGGGCATACACCATACAGTTTGCTACGAGGGAAATTTTGCCCGGACAGCGGCACTATGCCAATGTGTACACGGGACCTCGTTTTTTTGTCCCATCCAAATGACTGGACAGCTGTCCTTGTCAGGCCTTCCGTTCTGCATCACTGACAAGGGGGACCACGCCGGAAAATTATTAAATATAACTTTAAAACATTTCAGACAAAAAATGGTGTTGGTACATGTATCCACCTGTATAAGTGGAAGCCACAGTGGGTCGGTGAGTAATGTATTACCTTGTCGTTCGGATGGAATGGAAAACCATGTTGGCATTCACGTAATGAATTTGATGCAGAGAGAGTGAAAGTATTGCTGTCCAGGCAAAATTCTCCTCTTAGCCTTGCATATGTGACCATATAAACAAAGATAAGTATGCTAAGTCTCAGAATAACCAAAGTATTGTGATGACAAGAAACCAGGTCGGGGTTTCACAAAACATTCTCAGACTTAAGTTAATAATTTACTCAAGATTGTTCGGTAAAATATAGCCCATTATAATAATTTTTTTTTTTTTAATATATCAAATACATCGATAAGAAACTATATTTCTCATAATCAGTGATTGAAAGTTGAGTAATTTCTAAACTTAAGTCTGAGAATGCTTTGTGAACTCTGAACCGGGAAAGATTATTATTTCTAAAAGTTTTCAACCATCACAGGCCTACTATGTAATGGAATAATAGATGATGCAGCCATTTTGTCCCAAACAAGCCAACAGTGAGGCTGATGTCCCCCGCCGAAATTGCAAAATAAATAGATGACACATATTAATTAATCGCACATTTATTTTTTTCACTAAGTTTCATCACTCTCTATCAGATAGAATCAAGATTATCTTGTCCCAAACCATCGACAAATGAAATCGATTAGCTCTGCTTAGCTTCAGCTCGAAATGTTAATTATTGAACTCAGTCAAGACATTCACCTAATGAACATCTACATATACATCAAGTTTAAACATTCACCTAATAGACACCTATGCCAAGTTTGAACATTCTACCTCAATTAGAAGGAGAGTTATTGTGTTCCAAAGTTTCTACCAATCAAATTGCTTATCACTCTGCTTACCCTCAGCAAAAAATGTTCATTATCGAACTTAGTTAAGGTATTCATATAATAAATCTATACACCAAGTTTCATCAATCTCACTTAATTAGAACTAAAGTTATCGTGTCCCAAAGCATCAACCAATCAAATTGCTTATCTCTGCTTACCCTAAGCGGAAAATGCTCATCTTCGAACTCCATCAAGGCATTGACCTAATCAACACATACACCAAGTTTGAACATTCTAGCTCAATTAGGAAGAGAGTTATCGTGCCCCAAAGTATCAACCAATCAAATTGCTTATCTCTGCTTACCCTAAGCGGAAAATGCTCATCTTCGAACTCCATCAAGGCATTGACCTAATAAACACATACACCAAGTTTGAACATTCTAGCTCAATTAAAAGTTATCGTGTCCCAAAGCATCAACCAATCAAATTGCTTATCTCTGCTTACCCTAAGCGGAAAATGCTCATCTTCGAACTCCATCAAGGCATTGACCTAATCAACACATACACCAAGTTTGAACATTCTAGCCCAATTAGGAAGAGAGTTATCGTGTCCCAAAGCATCAACCAATCAAATTGCTTATCTCTGCTTACCCTAAGCGGAAAATGCTCATCTTCGAACTCCATCAAGGCATTGACCTAATAAACTTGGTGTATGAACATTCTAGCTCAATTAGGAAGAGAGTTATTGTGTCCCAAAAAGTGTGACGGACAGACAGACGGACAGACAGATGGACAGACAGACGGACAGACAGACAGACAGACAGACAGACGGACGAACCCATTTTAATAGTCCCCTGCTTTCTTCGAAAGGCGGGGGACAACAAAGTAGTACATATTGAATAATCTTGAATTTCTTTTACTCACCCTGAAGAAATTCTAAATTAAATTTTAGTCATGTGAAAGCTAATAATTGACAATGATTACACAGCTACTGTTTAACATGTCTGAATGTAGGAAAATGTCCCCGGAGAATTGGACTTATCAAGTGTTGCCAACATCTCTTTAAATTGTATTGATTAAAATGGTGGTTCACTCATTTTATTCATTAAATGTATTTATATCTTTGAAATATGGGCCTCTAATATTATCTGTGAAATTCAAACATACATGTAAGTTTGAAATAGGTTATAAAATTATAGTAGAAGTTTTCGAAAATTTCCAACGATAGTAAAAGAACTAAATTGATTAATTAAAATATAATTAATTAATTAGAAATAAATTACATCAAGGGCCATTACAATAATCCAGCATGACCGTGTAATCTCCTGGTGATAAATTTACTAAGATCTAATACATGCCAATAATTGCCATACACATTATCATTACTGTCGTAAGCTCCCATATTTCCATGTATGCGTTTCTGCATGCATATTTGCTGGTTACATGGAAACTTTGCAAATTATATTGTTCCAAAATATATTCTATGTACATGAATGTTTTAAAGGAATAAAAATGTGTATTCTAACCTGTTGGCATGGCTTTATCTTCTTCTTGTCCCAACATCTGATGTTGTTGACCACCATCTACAATAATACAACAATATCACTAAATAATACCTTCCACCTGGATAACTTACATTATGTAAGATTTAGATTTAGAGCTAGCCATTTTTGCTATATTAGTTCAGAAATAGATAATGCTAAATGAATACATCGAAAATTTCATTCAAATTACTTTATTCTGAGCGAAGATATTAGTCTTTAAAGGTTTGACAAGATGTGTGCATTGGTTGTAACCACTGTACTGGTTGTTTGAGGCTTAGCCTCACTTCTTCATTTTTAAATCGAATTTTTAAATGGCTGAACTGTTCTAATCTACTTAAATATCAGAGACGTCCGAGAGTAGATTATGGTCTTGTCATGTTAATAAATGATTTTATGTTACTTGACACACAAGACCATTAAAAGTGCTCAACAGAGTCATATTCAGTTTTGAGCGACAGTGGAAGGAAATGGGATTATACAGCCATTATTTATGTAAAGATTGTTCAGAAGTTATATAACAACTAATAAAGATCATCAAATTTATACTCCAAAGACAATTTACTTCTACTAAGAAAACATGTAAGTCTAAACACAGAAAATTTTGAACAACATATAAACAGTTTTTACAAAGACGCTAGTAACTAAAGAAATATTGTGAATATAATACAGCCAAGTGTTGGTTATAACGGACGCGACTATCGTATCGGTGTATGAATCTTGAATCTTTTCCATAACAATCACCCATTGTCCCGGACTCCAAGAAAAGATGAAAGCTGACAACAACATGCGTTCACCGTATTCTGGTTGAAACTTAAACAGGAAATGCATTTGCTTGATCTGCTCGTTTAATTAAGTGAATATGGCCGCTCATGATCGCCGAGTTTGAATACAGTATTCCGAAAATATAGGATTATTGGCGAGAAAGAAAAGCATGCTATTCTATAAGCTTTCCTCAACTTACCGTTCAAAAGAACATGTATATTGTCATTATTAGCTCTGGTTGTCGTGGTAACAATGGGTGTTTTATTATGAACTTTATTTAAGGAGGATCCTTTGTTTTTTGTCATCAAATCTTGATAGACTATCTCTATTTTTTCTGCCGTTGTAGTTTGAGGTACAACAGTTGTACTAGAATGAGTTGTAGTCATTTCAGTTGTTGTTGAGGTTGTTGTTGAAGTTGTTGTAGTTGGTGTCATGTCTACAAATTTTGAAAAATAAACGGTCTTAAGGTAGGGAAAATGCTGTGATGGTTACATATCTTCAATGGGAACCCATTCAGTGGTATCCATTTTATTTGGAGCTACATGTATCCTAAAAGTACTAGACTTAAACATACATTATGCAAGAGCTAAATCTGCCTACTGCAGGTCTTTCTTTAGGCCTGAAATGTTATCTAAATTATTAATTAGACATTAATTAACTTATCCAGACCATAATCAACTCTCGATGCCATTGCCTGCCTGTGATATTTAACGGATTGGAATACACTTTTTGAAAAATAATTAAACGTAAAAATGGATAATCGAGACTTTGTTTTTTTTATCGTACCCACTTTAGTAATGATGATCGAGGCTAGCCTAAAATTCAAAAGTTAATATCTTGGTTCAGATTGAAGCAATTTGACTGAAATTTTCAGCATATTCTATTTATGTTATCTATTTTTTAACTATTATAGCGAGAACTGTCAACTCTTTATCTAATCTCCCATAATGAGTCTTTAAAGCCTCAATACTGTGTTAAGAACCATACACAATATAAGGTGTATTTTGTTAAAATACTTTCTATTCCAAAAACTATTTAAATGGCTCAATTCTAAACATAGTTACATGTAAGACCATTTTAAGTTAACATTGGTTTCTATTAATTTTGGGGGTTGGGTGGCCGAATGGTTAGCATGTGCGCGCTGTATCATAAGGTCTGTTATTGAGTCAACTGGCGGGGTTTCGATTCCCCGGTTGTACGTGACAAGGGGTAGGGTCATCTGTCCAACCTTGTGGGTTTTCTCTGGGTCCTCCGGTTTCCTCCTACTGCTAAAGACCCCTACGCTCTAGCAAATTATTGAAATAAAATTGAACCATGTGTTAGTCCCGAAATGACCTACTTTGTGTTGAGTGGATGTTAAACCCCATTTCTCTCTCTCTTTCTATTAATTTCACAACACCATTTTTATTTCTCTTAGATAAACATAGATTAGTAATAATAATAAGAATAATCTTTACATTAAAATAGTCTTGAAGACTTTTTGAAATTTTCATGAACTACTAGGCTTATTGTGTCTTTAATACTGGCTAGATCTTTATATGAATTTAAGACAGGTGGGTGGAACAGAAATTTACCACAGATCTTACTGTCAGAACATAGCAAAACATGGGAAAATCTGTTATTAGTATACCCTTTTATCTCTCCGAAACAAAGTGTTCTTGAACGAAATAAAGTTGTACATGTACGTCAAAATATGCTCCATATCAAACAGGCCCGTAACTAGGGTGGGCACAGGGGGGGCAAAAAGTTTCACCCCCCCCCCCCCCTGTGAAAAAATTTTCGATAAAAAAATAGATATACATTGTCCGTCAATATTACAGCCCCCCTTAGAACACTTTCCGCCCCCCCCCCCCCTTGTTGCTCTGAGCTAGTTACGACCCTGATATGAAATTTCCAAAAAATCTATTCAGCCATTTTGAAGAAAAAAGGTTTTTAACATTTCATGTACGGTAACTACAATTTTCTCTTAAAGATGAAATTTGACAACAACATGTGTACTACTAGACGCCGACTTTCCGAATATTATTAACATTTTGTAAACCATATTCTGGTTAAAACTTAAACAGGAAATGCATTTGCTTGATCTGCTCGTTTAATTAATTGAATATGGCCGCTCATGATCGCCGAGTTTAAATACAGTATTCCGAAAATATAGGATTATTGGCAAGAAAGAAAAGCATGCTATTCTATAAGCTTTCCTCAACTTACCGTTCAAAAGAACATGTATATTGTCATTATTAGCTCTGGTTGTCGTGGTAACAATGGGTGTTTTATTATGAACTTGATTTAGGGAAGATCCTTTGTTTTTTGTCATCAAATCTTGATAGACTATCTCTATTTTTTCTGCCGTTGTAGTTTGAGGTACAACAGTTGTACTAGAATGAGTTGTAGTCATTTCAGTCGTTGTTGACGTCGTTGTAGTTGGTGTCATGTCTATAAATTTTTGAAAATAAACGGTCTTAAGGTAGAGAAAATGCTGTGAATGTTAGTAAATCTGTTATTAGTAGTGATGGTCTGATAAGGCTTCTATCAGTTTTACCGATATCAGATATTGACAGCAAAATATATCGGCTGATACAGATACAATTACCAATAGTGGTGGATATAAAACCATTACACATTTAAATGTCTTTAATGGCATGATAATTTATGTAGTTACATTTCATTGTTAGTCGGAAAACGGTTGGTACTATTTTACCTCAGGAATCAAACACACCATCTATTGTGAATTAAAATTAAAATAAATAAAGTCGAGATTTTCAGCTATTAAATGTTGACCAGGATATAATTCCCAAACTTGGTTGGCACCTGAATAAAGGCCTATTTTTATGTCAGATGTTCAGAATTGTTCATGCGTTAATGATACAACATTAAAGCGATATCTTGCCGTCTGTCAACAGTGGCAATCATTTGATATTCTCCCGCCTTTCCCCCCGTCTATCCTTTATCCTAATCACTCGATACCAGTAGGCCTACTGTATGTTGTGAGTTAGATAAAACGAACAAGAAAAATATGTCGCAAAGTAGTAAGGTTTGGACAATAATCAAAGGAGGATCTTTTGGGTCATCATGGCTAATTACATATTTCAGTCAGATGTTTTATCGGGTGAACTATCGATAGTTTATGTCCGTTTGCACATGCGCACAAATAGTATTTTAAAAAAAACGCAAACCCTCAAACAATGTGTGAATAAGGATTAAAAAAAATAACGTAGACCGGTAAGGATTTTGCACTGTTTATTATTTCCCTTTACAACCTTAATGAGAGTCTTGTATTATGTCTAAATAGTCACGTGCATGGCAAATAAAATAATTGTACCGAGTGACATGCAAATTAATGATTTAATGATATTTTAGTGGTATTTACTGAGTCCTTTAAAACAGATATCGGTGATTCCGGTATCGGCAATATGGCTAAGTATCGGCCGATACCGATTTCTTCCAATAGGCCATTTATCGGCCAAATGCCGATGTTGAAACCAATTACCAGACCATCACAAATTATTAGTATACCCTTTTGTCAATTCTAAAAAATTGTTCTTGAACTAAATAAAGTTGTATGTCAAAATATGCTCCATATCAAATTGTTTTTAACACTTCATGTCTGGTACCAACAGTTCAAATTAAACGGCAGTTGTTTATGCCTGCTTAGTGGAGTCTACACATTTTTTAAATTATTATTTTGCCGTTTGTGAATTAGCCTTTACTACCGGTAATTACCTCCACATTGTGTGGTAGGATATGTTTTTTTTTGTTCATTACAAAATGGCACCCAAAGCCATAGGGTACATGACTCGTGTACTGATTATAAGATGTTAATTGTGTATTAAAGGACAATAAAGGTGTCAGTCATTATCACATGTGATAGAACTGGTAAAACACGTCCCAAATATACTTTTAATACAGAGATCATTGCTACGATAGATGTGTTGTGAAGCTTTCAAGAAAGGGACGTGAAAAATGCAAAAGGAAAACACGAGTTATCCTTCAATATAACTGACTAAAGTGACGAGTGATAACAGATACATAGGCGAATTTCTGCTCACTAATAATTCCTTCGAAGAACAAAAGTTGTAAAAGTATATTTTGGACGTGTTTTACCATTTCTATCACATATGTGATAATGACTGACACCAATATTGTCCTTTAAATATTAGGATCCTATAGTTCTATAGTTTCATGGCAAGATAACATATTGATTGAAACTGATCAATATTGAATTCTAATTTGTGTTTTTAATTTTGAATATTATGGAAAATAATGAGTTAGAGACTTATTTCCTTTAACGTTACCCCAGTCTAGCCCCTATGAGGACAAGACACTTCATTACTTACAAACTGGTATCCATCCAGTTTTTTTTAGAGGAAGAAATTGAATATGATTAATTGCGTACGCCAGATGGATGGACAATGTTGGCAAAGAAAAAGGTCAACAAAGGAGAATAAATAACACACACTCAAAATTAACTAAACATAAAGCTTTGATATGTGCATAAGATAGAAAATAAAGGACAATTAAAGTCACAAAAGGTTTTATGTAATGTTAAGGCCAAAACAGTTATCTGTTTTACATACATGTATACATGTAGATATAAATTTCCTTTCAGTTTATGTACTGTTGATGGCCATAATATAAAAAAATGACAGATAAAAGGATCCATATTTTAATCAGATTTCTAATATTGTCAACAAACCAAAATGGAATTGAGTTTAAAATCCCAATTTTACTGGTTCATCTGGGCTAATGACAATGGACATACACCATGCAGTGTGAAATGAAAATTTGGCCCAGTCTGCTTTTATAATGAATTCCATCTGTCAAGGGTTCTTTTACGTGCAAATCAATGTGTATGAGGGACCTTGGTATTTCGCCCAATCCAAAAGACTACACATTGTCCAATGCTAGGCCCTCCATCCTACACCACTGACTGACAAGGGGGAACCACACTGGAAAATCCTGATGAACTTTCTCCTATCTCGGCCAACAATGGGAACAAAAACAGGACCTCCAGGGCAGCAACCCAATGTCTTCCACGGACCCCTGTCAACCAAAACAGCAGACATTGAATACAATTGTATACATACCATACTGACAGATGAAGCTATAGAGATAAGGAATACTGTTGCACGGATAATCATGCCATTTTCCACCATCTCGATATCTTAGCTGACCACAATCTTCTATGCATAACCAGCTACAACTTGGTTGTCCACTTGCCCAATTACTATAACTTATGGTTTCACCTGAGAAAAACACAATGTTTACATTTTAAAATGTCTAGACCAGACCTCTGTGATTTATGTCAAAAATTAAATTTTTGATTTCATAGGATTTGAATTTCAAGATTATGACATTTCCGACTTTTCTGCCTATTCTTTATTAAACTGTTGAGGATCTGCATGGCCCATTCTGGGATTCGAACCCATGACATTGTAGCCAAGATTCCAGTTATCTAACAGCTATGGACCTGTCTTCTATTGTAGTTTTAAATTATATTTAGATTTAAATTAAATAGAGGAATAATCGATCGTAAAATATGCTGTAGGTGAATTTGAACACATATTAATATCCTGCCAACTGCCGTGAATCAAACACGCCCACCTTCTCTGCGATCCTCTCTTTGCCCCACAATTACCAATAAATCCTAGATGACATAAGGTTACTACAACACATAAGAGATAGATTGCTAGACAACAAAACACCTACCCACAGAAACTAAGTCATTCGGGCAGTCAACAAGGGTTTTCGCATATTTTTTCTGACGCATGCTAACATTTAGTGCACAAAACATGTAACACTGTGTCATAAATTGAGCTGTTCTATAGATCGGAAATCATGGAAAGTCAAGGACCATAACTCTGGCAATAATTTACAAGTCATAAAAGATGTGCAAACCTGTTAACCATTGCCAATGCATCTCTTTATGCCTATCAGTGGCTCCAATCCAAACCCCATTTCTATTCCAATGTAACTTTCTTAAAGAACTCATGATAAAATTCTGTTCTTCAGCAGATTTAATGACAACAAGATGACCATGGTAGTTACTACAATATCTCTGAGCATCGTTCCATCTCCGTTCAAAATTATTAAACTGGTAACATTGTCCCTTGAATGTTCTCAAAAATCTGTTTCTGGGAACACCTTTCGGGCATTGATCAATGTCAGAACCTGTAATACAAAATAAAAACATGTGATGAGCTGTTCTTTCATAAGCCTATAACACTCATTTGTTTACAAAGATAGTTCACGAAACATACACCCACAGCAGCTTAGTTGGCCGAGCAGTCCACAAGGCAAAATCTCTGGTAGACAGTATAATTCAATAGGCTTCTTCCTTTCATTAATATGAATAGGCATACTAACTGTCCACTCGACACAAACTAGGTCATTTCAATTTTATTTCTATAATTTGCTTGCGTGTAATGGTCTTTAGCAGTCGGAGGAAACCGGAGGACCCGGAGAAAACCCACGTGGTTGGATAGGCGATCCAACTCCTTATCACGCACAAGCGGGGAATCAAAACCATGCCACATGACCTTCTGATACAATGTGCGCATGTTAACCATTCGGCCACCCAACCAGCCTATCACTAATGCAATAAATAGAGAAATACAGGAACATCTCCTATTCAATAAATGCACAACTTGATTACCGTGGTGACACATCTTCCTGGAAAATAACTCAGATAATCAATAATACAATGTACATGTATCTCCATGAATAAGTTTCTGCAAGTCTTCAAGAGACATTAAGCTGTTTGTACATGTATTTGAGTGCCGAGGTGTATTAAATGCATGGTTAGTGACAGAGTAGAAGGTCATCACTGGATAATGGTTCTTTATAACCCTATTCAAGGACAAATCTTATTAAAGTACTTCTGGAAGCTGCCTTCATTCATGATGCTCATGCATTAACCTTGACCATGACATGCTAGTCATCAAGAAGACATTAACTGCTTTCTGGATAATTGCAAGTCCTAATAGAATTAGTGAGATGGGTTGGATTCCTGAATCCCCAGATAATTCTTGAAGGATAGCTAGAAATAATATATTATTTAGTCACGTTCAAATCTTTATACTTAAAATGTTATTGTCCAAAGTGATCACAATTGAGACCGAAAAAAAGAAAATGACAAATTATTGTCAGGGATAAGATAAGGAAGGCCTCTGTAATTTAATCCAAAATGCATCAATTCATCTTCTAAATCAATATGGGTGGGAAAATACTTCAAATATTAGAGATAAATTTATCAACCATCAGTTTTCTTTTAAAATTGTTTCTTTTCATGTTAAATATCAGATGTTTGTAGAAGATGGATTGATATTGATTCTACTTGTTTTTCTAATAGGTGTATTTTAGGCTTGTAACCTATATGGGTCACATGTAGTCTGGATATTTCTACAAGTATTATATATGTCCTTGACAACTGATACATATATCACCAGACAAGACTTCTTCATCCTCATTATATAACATAGAATATATGGAAATTGAAATACAGTATATGAATTTTAAAAGAAAAACATTGTGGATGTTCTGCCATTTTGCCATTGCCCATCACTCGATATATACAAAAAAATTACCTACATTGTACATTATATATCACCCCCCCCCCCAAAGAATTGTGCATTATCTAAAATCCTCTTTCTATGTAGTCTTTTACGTGCATATTTTTGTCTTTATAAAGCAGGGCCACAACTTGTACCACTGAGGCGGTTTGCTCCAGGGGGCTTCTGCGTCTAAAGTCTGATTTTAATTCCAAACTATCGCTATTTGCTACACATACAATATATTATCTCAAAACATTACTCAATGAATGGTCTCCTTTATTCTTTCTATAGAAACTTTACCAAACATTTTCATTATTAAAAAGTTCACATAGTGTTAACATTTTTTTATTATATCAAGAATGGAAGGAAGGAAGGATGTTTATCCGAACAGAAGTATTGTTATCATTCATCTTTTCTGACAGACGATTCCAGTTTTATCATCAGAATCGGATACAGAACCAGATGTCTTTGATTCCTGGTTATAAAAGATTTATTGAATCAAACTATTGTATAACCATTTTCTTTGACACATGTTACACAATAACATCACTGACGATCTTTTGTAGTTATGATGGTGGAATTTCCTGTACATAAGGACTTCCACATCTAAAGCAAAACAAAAGTGTTCTGATTCTTCCAATTGTCTGACGCCAACATCTAAAATCGACATCATACATGCTTTAATGGTTTTCTTTTACAGCCATAAATCTGAATTTCATTAAATCTTCACAACCAACTTTTTGTAAGAGATCAAAACACAAGACATCCTGAAGATTCCAACCGAAATGTGATATTGAAGTCCATACTATCGCCCGAATTAGATATTCCCTGTATGATGAGAGGGGTCATGCACGAATTAGATTATGCTGAGGCTGCTCCTTCTAGAGCACCTGATACCACTTCTAATTTATTTGTAAAGTTAACATAGCTAATAATTTTGTTCTACTTTTTGATATGGCCGATATACATGTATATATCACAATGTCAGGGAATTACAAATCATTCTTAACACTATTCTTTGTTTCTTACATGTACATGTAAGCATTGCAGTTAATATAAATTAAAACAGGACCTATTTAGAAATGCTTGAAACTATTCCCAACTTTGGAATTACATGTGTGTAAGTGGGCGTACATTATAATGATTGGATAATCAATACAAGGCAGATGATAACAAGTCAACAGTGAGGCTGATGTCCCCCGTCGAAGTCCCAAAATAAATAGATCACACACAGTTATTGTGTCCCAAAGCATCAACCAATCAAATTGCTTATTTCTGCTTACCCTAAGCAGAAAATGCTCATCTTCGAACTCCATCTAGGCATTGACCTAATAAACACCTACACCAAGTTTGAACATTCTAGCTCAATTAGAAAGAGAGACAGACAGACAAAGCCATTTTAATAGTCCCCCATAATCTCTAACATTTTAAGAGCTTTTTAATTGATCCAACTGAGAAGTGGAAATCGGGTTTTCTTTTTCTTCCATTTTAACCTTTTAAGTTGACTTTAACAATAAATCCAGCGATTCTGCCAGCAAGTATATCTTCTAAAAACCTAGTCAAATACTTTTTAGGGGGTAATGTGATTTCAATGTTTACTACACTACATGTAGATCAACACATGGCCATTTAACCTTCGGATAAAAATTGATTCAAGCTACAGTAAATCTATTTGTTTCATAAGGGAAATATGACTAGAAAATATTGTACTTAAGGGTTATCATAATGGATAATACATGTAGAGTCTTGGGGAGAGAGAGAAATGGGGTTTAACATCCACTCGACACAGACTACGACCCGGAGAAAAACCACGAGGTTGGACAGGCGACCCTACTCCTTGTCACGTACAACCGGGGACTTGAAACCACGGCAGTTAACTCAATGACAGGCTTTATGATACAGCGCGCACGTGCTAACCATTCGGCCATCCAACCCCCCCTATAATATTGGGATTATTTCTGTGTGATTATAAACTTTTCAGGAAGCAATTTACATTGTTGGGGGACGGAAATCTACACTGTAGAAGGTAACGCGACGCTGGCTGAATTTAGAGACTAATGTTTACCAGAGGTTTGGTGACGCTCGGGGTCAATTCCTTGCATTAATATGCCACAAGTGTCAAGTATGGAGTCTATTATTCACTCCAGAAATACACTGTATGAGAAAGGAAGGTAACGCAAGGCTTGCTCAATGAAATGTGTGGCTGCTTTATATTCACAGTTGCCCTCTGCAATAAGTTAAGTATCATTGAGATAACCATGCATGCATACGTAACGAAATCCTGTTCAGAAGATCCGATTTCCATGTAAATCACTTAACTTGATGTGTCGGAAATGACACAATTTCCATACCATCTCTGTTTTGAGTTTATCAAGAACTTTGTCATTACAGGAAATGGAGATGTACCGGGTTGATGTCAAAACAATTAAAAATAGCAGCAGACTTCATTCATATGAATGACTTATTTATAATCAGTGAATAACTTGTATTGATAAACATACATACATAGTACAATGTACAAACAAGTGCAAACAGCTGAACCAAACATAAACAAGCTGAAACCCATGACACACATCAAACACGGACAGTATTCACTTGGCTTGTGTTTCCGATTTGAATCTCTTTTAAGTATTTAGCTGTCAAAATTTAGCAGTTACATGTACTATACACTTAAATAAATTTATTCCCCCTTAAGATTGATGTACATGTATCATTTTTCAAGTGTCTTACATGTACATATTCATGAAATAAAATTCCCCGACCTTTTAAAAAACAACAACGTGTATTAAAGGAAGGAAGAGAGAGAGAGAAACGGGGGTTTAACGTCCATTCGACACAAACTAGGTCATTTCGGGACTAACATATGGTTTAATTTTATTTCAATAATTCGCTTGCGCGTAGGGCTCTTTAGCAGTGGGAGGAAACCGAAGGACCCAGAGAAAACCCATGAGGTTGGACAGGCGACCCTACTCCTTGTCACGTACAACCGGGGATTGTATATTAAAGGAGGCAAGTCACTAACTCAATATCATCCACAGTCTTAGACATTGTAAACACGACTTATTGGTCAATTTAAATCAACATTGATGTTGTTATCTTACCGAGAAAAAATGGGCTTCTGATATCCAATAGAAAAGAAAATTTTAAAATTGGCACATGAATCACATGCCAGAATGCTTTCGAGCGCCATTTGTTATGAAGTGACTCGATGAACAAGGATAAAAATATCCGACAGCAGAATACTATTAGTGTAGACTGGAGTAAACAAACGCCAAAGACTGTCATTCAATTATGGACTCCTCGCATATTTGGCCGAACATAACTGATTATAAATTACAGTAAAAAAAGAGTGATTGAATGTAAATCAGTTTAATATTCATATTACATTATTATATGCGTTGTGAACCATTTGTGTCCACTTCTAGGTGCCAAAGTCTTAATTAAATATATTTCTGGTAGCACAAATTTGTCATCTCGCCTACAATGTACATGTAATAGAATCCATGACTATTTTGAAAACAGTATTTCAATATTGATAATGTAGACCAGTGGTTCTCAACCTTTTTCTGCCAACGGCACACTTTGGAACACATGAAAAAATAGCGGCACACCTGGCTA